TTGTTTTTACTGTAATATCAGTCTTTTAAACCTGTGTATTTTAATTTGTATAAGGATAACTTTTAAAATATTTTAATAATTTTAACCTGTCACATACTCCCCCTCAAAAATAGATGTTGTCCCCAACATCAGGACCATAACACACAAACTACTGACCTCAGTTGTGCAAATTCAAGTGCATAGTCAACTCATTGAAAAACAGGGTTTACAGACTGGAACTCTTTTCATACATTCGTTTTGAGTAAGAACTCAGTCAGTCTCAAGCGGCCATTTCACAGTTAACTGCATATTTGTCCTCTGCATATTGTGAGAAGCAAAAACAGATTATTGGCAGTGACAGTCCTTCCTCCCATTTCTTTCCCTGTAAACACAGTCTTAGATAGGAGTCGATCAGAAGTTGATTCAGGCAACATCAGTAAACAAAATAGCCAACATTACATCAACATTGCAACAACAATGCATCAACATTGTCCATAAGACTCATGAAAGTAGTAAGGATGAACACTGTTTACCCAAGGCAAAACCTGTCCTGTATAAAAAGGTAAAGTTTGAATGTTATAGCAAGACGGAGTACCCAGTAAATCATAAGTGAATACTTTTGGTTTCCTAGACGCACGTTTGGGTCTCAGATTCACATCACCATCAAGATCACTGTCGTGGGGAGGGGGAGGTGGAGAGGGGGGAGAAAGGCTCACCTCTGTCGGCACATTCTCTACCTGACCAATGTTATCCTCAGGTAGCTGGTCAGCTTCTGCCACGTCAGGCTCAGTCACCTGCAGCACCTCCTCAGGACAGCTGTCCTGGCAGGTTGATCTTGTGGACCTCTTAGGCTGTGGCGAATGAGAGCGAGTGCTCAGGTGTCTCGGCACAGAATAATACCCGTCCTCCTCATCATCATCCTCTTCCGAGTAGACCTGTGATGTCTGAGCTGGGCTTGCACTGGACCTGTTCTTGGACTGAGGCTGCAAAGAAGTCTCTAAGGGCAAATGGTCACATGAGAGCAGGAGATTACGATGTAAAGTTCTGGATCTGCCCTTGCCCCTCTCAGGTTTCAGTTCATAAACAGGAATGTCCTTGCTCACTTGACGAACCACTGTGTGTACAACATCCTCCCAGTGGTTTCTCAGTTTGCCTGGACCCCCACGTGGAGTCAAGTTCCTGACTAAGACACGGTCACCGGGCAGCAGAGCAGAATACCTCATTTTACTATCATAATGTCTCTTGCCCCGAACAGCAGCTTTGCTTGCATTCTCCCGAGTGATCTCATAAGCATCTGTCATACCTTGTTTCCACCTCTGCATGTAGGTCTGATGATTACTGTCACCCTGATCTCCACCTGGAGATAAACTGAACAACATGTCCACTGGTAATCGTGGTGACCGTCCGTAAAGCAGGTAAAAAGGGGAAAATCCTGTCACTTCACTTTTAGTAGCGTTATAGGCATAGATAAGTTTGTTTAGTGAGCTCTTCCAGTTACTCTTCTGTTTCTCAGTGAGTGTTTTTAACATCTGGATCAAAGTCCGGTTAAACCTCTCTACTTGCCCATTTCCTTGTGGGTGGTATGGACTGGTTCTTGAGCCTGCAACCCCACAGTACTCTTTCAGCTGGGCAAAAAGTTGGTTCTCAAATTCACCACCTTGATCGTGGGGAAGTCTCTGGGGAAAGCCAAACTTTAAAGCATAGTCGTTAAAGATTTTTTCTGCTGCTGTTTTACCAGACTTGTTAGTGGTGGCATAAGCCTGAGCAAAACGTGTAAAATGGTCAACAATAACAAGTACATACTCATAGCCACCCTTACATTTGTCCAAGTGTAAAAAGTCAACAGAGACAAGTTCAAAGGGCTGAGTAGTAACTATGTTTGTGAGCGGGGCTCTTGTCTCATGGCTTGGTCTCTTGTTTTTAAGACACACACACTTCCTCATTACATAGTCCTCTATTTCTTTTTGCATGAAGGGCCAGTAAAAACGGTCCCGTACCAGAGACATAGTCCTTTCCACACCATGGTGGCCCATTTCGTCATGCAGTTCTTTTAAGACTGTGGGCCTGTGCTTCTCAGGTAACACCAGTTGCTTCCTGATTTTCGTTTGTCGGTATAAAACACCTCTTTCATTAAACTGTAACTTGTCCCATTCTCTAATAAGACATACAACTTGTGGACACAGCTGTTTCAGTTCTGAACCAGCAGGTTTTGACTCTGCCAGTTTATATTGTATAATTTGTCCAATAACAGGATCAGTCTCTTGGTCTAATTTGATCTGTCCTACAGTAAATGGAGCTATCGGCATGCTCACTGACACTGTAGCACACTTGGCCGAAATACCCATAGACCAGGCTGCACTAGACTCGTCCTGATGGTCAACCGCCTGTGTCGCTGCACTCACCACATCATATGACATTTCCTCTGAGCATTCTTCCATATAGGTCTCCATGTTTAAGGGCATCCTAGACAGACTGTCTGCATCTATGTTCTCTCTACCAGGGCGGTACTTCACAGTAAAATGGAAATCAGCAAGTTCTGCAACCCACCTACACCCTGTTGCGTTCAATTTTGCTGTAGACAGAACATAAGTAAGCGGATTGTTATCGCTAAACACAGTAAAAAATGGTGCATAGTACAAGTAATCACGGAACTTGTCTGTAATTGCCCATTTAAGAGCCAGAAATTCTAACTTGCCTGAGTGTAAGTTGTAGTTTTTCTCGGCTGTGGTTAGAGTTCTGGAGCCATATGCTATTACACGGAGTTTGCCGTTTTGCCTTTGATACAATACAGCTCCTAATCCCTGGTTAGAGGCATCTGTATGTAAGACAAAGGGCTGTGTAAAGTCTGGAAACCCAAGAACAGGAGGCTGAACTAAACAGTCTATCAACTGTTCTAAGACTGACTGGTGCACATCACTCCACTGAATAGGAGTACTTGAGGGCACACTGTTATTCTGTCTCATTGTCCCTTTTCTTGTATATTGTTGAGCTTCTGGTTTTGAAGGCACTTTGAGCAAGTCATACAGGGGACTAGCAATACGAGATAAATCTTTGATGTATTGCCTATAGTAGCTTAATAGTCCTAGTATCGCTCTGAGCTCACCAACAGTACCTGGCTGCTTGTTCTTCAGGGACCGTACTGCTGCTGTATCCGCCGGGTCCATTTTGCTTCCCTCAGCAGAAACCATCCTGCCAAGGTACCTCACCTCCGGTTTGAAAATCTCACATTTTCGTGGTTTGAGTTTTATTCCATTGTCTCTGAGGCGTCGCAGTACTGTTCTCACATCATCAACGTGGTCCTCAAAAGTTCTGCTGAACACAAGAACATCGTCTAGATAGGGAACACATATCTCGTCTCGCAGTCCATCCAGGCATTGCTCCATACACCGCTGGAACGCAGCTGGCGCATTCATGAGGCCGAAAGGAATTCTAATCCATTCGTAAAGGCCCCAGGCCCCGATGACAGCTGTTTATACAGTTCAGTGGCTCCTCTCTCCTGATAGTGAGACCTCAGGATCCTCCGCAAGGCAGGGAGTGTAAGGTCACCTTTGCCTTCCAGGTAACTTCTTAACTGCAGACCTGGTGTGATGGCTCTAATTACTGCATCAACTATTTCATCTTCATGGTAGCCTTTATTTAGTCCACTTTCAATCTGCCTGGCCAAACTACTAAATGTAAGCTTGTCTTTCTGTCCAGGCTCTCCTATTTGACCTGATATTTTAAAGTCTTTGCGCCAAATGGAGCAATCTGGGGGGGGCTGAAGCTTTTTTCAGCAACGGTGTGCTTTGTAGGCTCAGTTTCTCACTCATTAGCTGATGTATAGCTTCCTCTTTGGCTTGAAGCGTGGTCCGTAATGCATCTACCTCTTTTTGCAGGACATCTCTCTCTTGAGCTTCACCTACTGGCTCTAGCTCTGTCAGTTTTGCATTTTCGATCAAATCCTTAATACTGAGTAAGTGAGACAATCCCTCATCTTCTAGCTCAGCTAACTCAATCTTCTCAATATGCTCTATAACAAGTGTGATTAACTGGCCTCGGGTTTTGTCTGCAAGTTGCTCTTTTCTGAGTCCAGATATTTGTAGTCCATTGCATATTGTCAGCAATTGTTTAATATTCAGCTCATATAAAGCACCTTTAACTTCTAACTGCACGTTCTCCAGCTCTGATTCCATTTTCATCAGATAAAAGGCATAACACAGTTCACGGTGAGCTTCTGTTAAACTTTGTGGAACAATGGTGCCCTCTAGTGGTGGTCGTGCGCACTACAGATACAACCTGTTGCACATGTTGACAGAGCCACGGTGAACGTCGGCGGTGCCTCGTGCTGCCGGTGCCGGGTTTAATGGCGGATATTCGGCTCGAGTTTCCACTTACAGGTGGTGGATTTTTCTCTGACCAAACATCCCAGCGGTGCCTCCAAAATGTTGCGCCCTCTGCTCCGATATCTTGGGAGAGGTACGTGGTTGCTTTTGAGTTAAAATGAATAATGGAGATTCTGCTGACGTCTTTACTCACTTTAACTTTATTCAAAAGAACACCAAAACCTTTCTGCGCAAGCGCAAAACACAGTTCTCTGCTGGACAGAAGCAATCGATCTACAAACCATCGAACTCTTAAGAAATTGTAAATAGTGTGTACATAGTATGAATACTCTTAGTACTGTATTACCACTACTTTTTAACAATCATAACAAAATAATAATTATGAAATATGAATTATTTTTAACTCTTGTTTTTACTGTAATATCAGTCTTTTAAACCTGTGTATTTTAATTTGTATAAGGATAACTTTTAAAATATTTTAATAATTTTAACCTGTCACATTTTCATTGGCTGAAAGTGGAAATTAATTAACAGAGAAATAGTTAAACTCAGATCATTTAAAGAGAAATATTTTCCCAATATCCAACATTGGGACTTTTTCATATCCTGAGATTACCTCATTTAAAATCACACACTCTGACAAATACACATCAATATGGTGGCACATTAAAGGTAGGTTTCAGAATATTTAGTACTTACCATAGAGGATGTTGATGAGGGATATAGGCATGACCAGGATGCCTACAAGCATGTCTGCTACAGCCAGTGATCTCAGAAAGAAGTTGGTGGCATTTTGAAGCTTCTTCTCCAGAGACACAGCCAGAATGACCAGAATGTTTCCCCCAATCGTCAGTGCGATGATAACCAGGATCAGCAGAGCTGGCCAGTTTTTCTTTTTGATCATGGTTGTGGTGACCGACTCCTGAGTTGTTGTATTGTCCAAACCAAAATCCAAACTCATTGCTGCTGCATTGGCACCGCCAATGCCTCCTATTCCCCATGGCAGGGTTTGGTTAAAGTCTAGTGGGTTGTTGCTTGGCCAACCTATTTGACCCCCGACCTCGAGGGAGGAGGTGGTTGTGCCAAAACCACCGAGTAGAGTCCTCCCTGGGTCACCCATTCCTTAGAAGAATAGTCACCTCTTCAAACACTGGAGGTTTCCGGACTCCTGATTTAACTCTGCCTGTTAACTATCAATGCACAAAGCATTGAGAGGGATTATCCTTAATGAGTTTTAATATTGATCAGCAGAACATTCAAGGGCAGGGCAACTTCACAGATAGGGGGAGAGGAATGGAAGAAATTTGGTTTTCAATCATACTACTGCAAACAGTCTTAAGTTGTAGTTTGGGGGTTAAACCTCTCATTTCCTGCCAAAATACCATTGACAAAGAGATCTCAACTTAGACAGCAACCCAAGCTGTCCCAAGTTGTTTATTGATATCGAGCCACATCTCCTGCCTGATAGAACATAGAATTGAAGTGTTTCTAATTTAGAGCTGGAAATTGGATCACTCATATCCATGGCTTGCTGCCCACAGCCCTCTGCACCCACCCAATCAGTGCCGGTTTGTTTGCCAAAAGGTACGGATCTCTTCGAGTATCTGCTAGGTTCCACTCAAGGTGTTTTTCTTTTTTTTCACTGGGCTTCCACCATCTGTTAGATCAGAATTGATGATCAGCCTGAGCTGTGGAGAGAAGAAATGGAAAGAAAAGAAAGTCTGATTATTTTAACTGCCTTATCCTTCTTCCCGCTCTCCCCTGTGCTGGTTTATTTTACAATCTGTTGGTTCAATTCCTTCATTTCTTTCACGCTACTTCTGCATTTACATTCCCTTAATCACCAACTGCACCTTTGATGCATCCATCAACCCTCCCACTCAGTACTTCTATCTTTCCTCTCAAGATCCCTGTAGCAATTTCTCCTGAACCACACTAATTTATCACATTGTCCACAGTAATAAGAGGTTTGGGCAACTGTGTGTGTAACCACTAGCATTGAAACTAATGGAGACAAGCTGGAAGGAAAAGCTTAGATGTTTACACCCTCATGTTCACAATTGTGTTAAAGAGCAACCTGTCCTCCAAATTTACCTTTACTCCTCAGTAAACGGTTATTTAGCACCTTACAAACCTCTTCCAGGACAGGCCGAGAAGCCTGCATGTAGGTGCGTGGGTGTTGACGTGTGTGTGTGTGTGTGTGCACACATATGTCTTCGCTTGTAACAGGAAGAAAATCTTGACAGACTGTGGAAACTGCCGAGATGTGTTTTATGATGCGTAGGCATGGAGAGTGAATGGTTGACAGTGATTGCTTGAGTTTTTGTATGGCTCAGAGTGTGTTTTAAGGAGCCAACATGTTTGCAGATGGCCCTAGGCCCTTATGAGACCGTTCAGCAGGCAGTGGGTTTGTGGAACTGCAAGATTAAGAAGCCAAGTGTGACCATATGGTATTTACTCATTGATTCACACAACATACTTTTCACCATGGGGATATTTGTACTTTTCAATTAATGTAAGTGTTGTCATTTCCATTTGTTGTTTGGGAAAATGAGAGCGTATACGAATTAACATCTCAGCAAGAATGTGTGAAATAAAATAATAAATTCAAACCATTACTGCTTGTGATTACAAATACACTGTGCAAACCTAGGGGTGTTATTTATAACAAGTCTTTATTTCCTAATGAAAAAAGCTCAGTTTGCTTTCTTTAATGAATATCTGGAAGGTTGAAAGGATTAATTGAAGACTGTTTGAGTCGATTATCCCAATTTTTTTTTTTTCTAAGCACATCATAAATGTATTGATCTACATGTTTAAAACGTACCCTAACATTTATGATTCCATTGTGGTTCTGGAAATTAATGTAGGTTTCAATATTTCGGTGTTTCAGGACGTTTTTGGGTGTGACTAAAGGGGCAGCCTCTTGTCGATACTCGGCTGCCTTTAGCATAGGTCGGTCCCCTTCTGGGCCAGCAGTATAAAAGCAAGGCCACTTATGCATTGCTGCTAACTGAGCACCTATTTTAACAGCTTTTCTGGCCCACCCGCATTTTATTATTTTTTTTTCAAAAAAGCAGCTGGTGGCAAATCTAGTAACTTTTTCCTGTCTTGTTGAAGAGTTTGGTACCCCCAGGTCAATATATGTCACAATTGTTTTTAATTATTCAAATTCAGATGGATGATTGATAAAACAAAATTTATGCGGTGCAACAAACTAATAATACTCGTTTATTTCTACTTTAACCAATCTTTAATATCGGTACACATTGGAAGACACATTATTAATCTTTCTCACTGTTGATTTCAGATCACACTAAACTTTTCCTGTTTTGCTTTAAGCCCTTAAATATTCAGTCAAAGTTGGGTTTAAAAATATTTTCATATTTCTGGCATGTTCATTCTGAATGAAAGAAATGAAAATATTTTAGACTGGCCCATCCAGAGTCCCACTCTGACTCTTACAGAAAATCTACGGATGGAGCTGAAAATGTTGTAGTTTCAAGATGGCCATCTAAAATCCAAGACTTTCAGCATTTCTGAGATGAATATAGAGTAAATTTTGTTCAATTATTGTTGCAAGCAAAGAACACGTTTATGAATAGACATTTGAAAAAAAAAATGAAAAAAATACAAAACTTCTTAATTATTTTTTCCCGTTTGCATTTCATTTTTCTAAATATATTTTAAGTAAGTTTTACTTTAAATAAGTTTTAATAAATAATTTTTACTTTTTACATTTTTCTTTATCAGATTGACTTTTATGAATTTACGTTATTACAAATACTTAGTGGGAAGGACCTTCCTGTGGAGTGATGAGGGAAGACAAAAATCTATTGGGCTGCATAGTCAAGATAAGCAACATTTATATTGGTCAATGTAAGCAATAAAAGGGAGCGTTTGTAATGGGTCGAAACGAAAAGAATGTGATCTATATAATGATTTGTTAAAAGAATGAAATTCATAAAACTGAATCTAAAAAAGAAAATAAAAAAATAACATTTGAAACTATACAACCTATTCTCATTATGAGTGCGTATGAAATCGTATGAAAAGTTATGCACCGTAATTTCGTACGTTTTGGACGTTTTTTTCGTTGTATGCGCATGCGCATCTGACGCACCATTAAAGAATATAGAATATAAATTACAATTAGCCCTAACCCTGAAACTAACTCTAACCCTAAGATATAAAACAGCAAGCAATAAGTGATGATCGCACTGTTTCCCATTTTTACGTCCGTCCGCGGATCTGCTTTTTTTTTCAGCGCATGCGCACTGATTTTTTGAGGAAAAACATCCAAAACGTACGAAATAGTGTGCATAACTTTTCGTACGATTTCATACGCACTGATAATGAGAATATGTTGAACTATAACATTTGTGAAAGCCAAATAAGGAAGTAAACTAGATAAAAATGAAAAAAAGAAATACATCAAAAACAAGAATACAAAAAAATCTGAAAAAAAAGTAAATTTACTGTTTTTTCAATACGAAGTTTTACAAACTTTCTTTACATTATTGTCTGCTTGCAAAGATAATGGACTACAATTACTCCCGAGATTAATTTATTAACAAAAATCACACAAACAGCTGATTAGTAATAACCAAAATAGGCTACTTGGTCTAATTACACAAAACATTTTTGTTTAGAATTCAGAATTCAGGAATTTAGTTTTTTTTATTTTGCAGCTTAAACACAGCTGTTTTGAGAAACATGCTGATGATTACACATTAAAATGAAACGATATATAACAAGGCTGAATCTCTTAGACCTGGTGCATTAACATTTTTTTATTAATTTGGAATAAAAACATCTGAGCGGGTGTATTATTGGAATGTAATCTTTAAGCCATTTCTTTCAAATGAATTGATTTTCCGCACCAAAAACCACAGGGCAGCATAAGGATAAGATTAGGGTAATGCTTTTAATGAGGCTAGTCTGTTCCAAATAAAAATAAACCATTTGGATGAATAATAGTTTAAATAGCATAAGAGGTTTTAGTAAGAAATCTAGTAGCAACACTAGACTCAAAGCTATTGAAATAGGTTTAAAACAATCACTTTTCTAAGAAAGGTGCATAACAGACAGCCTGCCTGCTATCTTCCCCCTCTGAGCAAAGTCATCAGCATTGTTCAAGGAAAACTAAACAGCACTGCAGGCAAACCCTTTAACTGGTCTGATAAAGCAGCAATATATCACAGAGAAGTTGAAAGGAGCAGGATGAAGAGGAAAGCATACGAGGAAGAGAAAAGGAATCTACTGGGGGGGGAAATGAAAATAACTTGGAGTAAAAAATACAAATAATATAATAAAGATTCTGAGTCACCAGATATGTAACCATTTATTTAAACCTGCAGGATAGTAAGTTGTTGTTCAGCCAGTTTTTCTCTGTTTACATTTAATCATTTAGCTTTTGCTTTTAACCTGGCATGAAAACCGAGAGTTCATTAGCTTACAACCAAGGATTAGAAGCAGCCTGTGGAGAGAATAATTGTATGCCTATGCTAACCTCTTGCATCCTCTGTAGATCATAATTGATGTTGTGACAGCACAAGGCATTCTAACCGACTTCCTGGAGGGAACCACACAGATCCAGCTAGAGAATCATAAAGGATCGTGGCACCAAAGCCTCAGAAAGGCACAGATGTCACTGCTGTCTCGTTGCACTTCACCGCGGGGACAAATTACCGCTGCACTAATCTGCTCTGAGAGATAAGGAAGTGGAGGGCGGCTAGGATATTGGCTTTTTTTTTTTGAGAGAAAACAAGTTTAAACACATTTGAGATTTGCTATTTTGGTAATATATCTTTGAAAAATTATTACAAATTAAAAATAGTTTTTTCTTATAGCAAACATTTGACTTTTTTATATGTTAACAAAGTTTAGCATAAAAGTGAGATTGTTAAAGAAGTCTCTTTTTAGCTTTCACTTAAATGTTACTCAGCTTTAAATAACAGAAATTCAACTCTGACGATATGGAACCCAGTCAAATATTTAGGGTATTTTTTTCTGCAGTATAAAATTATGACAACTGATTACTGTACATAACTGTACAGTGTGAGGTTGCTGTAGAATACCTTACTTTACTTACAGTTTCATTTTAAGTGGTTTCTGGATTCTAATGGCCTGATGGTAGCCCTTTATAAAAACACTGTGTTCAATGTTGATTTTAGGTCCGAGACAATTATCGGATCAATCATAATTATTTCACTCTTTGTAATCGATTAATTGTTAGCTGGAATGCCTGTGGCTAACAGAGGAACATAATTAGAGCAGTAATTATACCAAAATTGTAAAAGAATATATAAATATTTAAAATTAAAATTAAAAAACCTTATTCATCTGCCAATATGCTCTATCCAGAACTCCTCAAGTGTAAACATGTTATTATCACCTGGTTCAAATTCTGTGAGGAATCTTCTTTTAAAGGTACACTATGCAACCGGTGTTGATTTTCCAGCGAGGCTTCCCCCAGAGGGCGAAAGTAAAAGTGCACTGTCGTAAATATGCTCAGCTGTTCTCCTGGTTTCTCCGTCAAGCCAGGCGCGGTTGTTTTGAGTTTAGCAGACAGGCGAACGCAATAAATCACCATATCTCTGCGGTAAGTGACTATTTTGTTCCAATTTTCGAGTTTGAAAATTTAGCATGTTTTTATACATCATTTGTTATGCATGTGTCTAAATAACAAAGATTGTAGTTAGCCAAGTTCTCACCGTAAAGCAAGACCGACGAGACTTCTGAGCCTGTGGGTGCGGGCCGAGGGCTCCTGCAATTGCAAGTACGGTATTTCCCCTGCAGACCACCAGGGCGGCCGAGAAAACCTTTTTTCGACCTGAAATGACTCATTTAATCATCCAAAACGTTATGGAACACATTAATTAACTGAAAAATGTTGCATAGTGTGCCTTTAAGGAACCTTTTGCTATCCCATTATTAATAAAAAGAAATAGTAGCTAGATAAATCGATCAAATTAATAGTTAATTGCAGCCCTAGTTGACTGCATCATTATCATGGGAGTTGAAATACTAGATTTGGTTCCTGTTCTGTCAAATCAGTAATCTTAAATGATGCACAACTTTAGGGACGGAAAGAAAGTGTGGTACAGAAGTATATGAGTGGGGATTCTACTTATTACAAGTTCGCTTTAAGTTTAAGACAATAAAGAATACTTGCAATTGTAAATCTTAGTTTGGATTGCAATTCTATAGCTGATTAACAAAAAACAAATTCAGTAAGAAAGAACGAGGGTGAATAGAGATAAATATCTAGAGAGTAGTCTCTCCTCGCTATCTGAAATCTGCTCACTCACTTCTTCTCTCCCACTGATCGATGTGCTTGCCCTTTTCCGCCTATTTCTGTTACCACCAGAATTGAGTCTTTGCGACATAACATCCGTGTCTCACTTCCTCCCGTGATGTATCAATCCCCGTGGCATCTGTCACTCCACACATCAGCAGAAAGGTATCACCACCCTCCATCCGCCTGCAGAAGAGGACGAGAGGGGAGAGGGAGGTAAGAGAAAAAACAAAGAGATGTTGACTTTTGTGAAACATTCCAGATCAAACCTGAGGTAAAAGTGACTGAAAACCTCCTGGAACTACAATGACTCCTACATACACCCACACACAGAGTAACAGCAGCACTACGGATTGATGCTCCTCTGTACTTTCATCCTGCAGGATCACAGCATCGCAGAATAAATACCACAGACAACACATGGTTAGATTAGAGGATTTTGATGTACTTGCAGCAAAACAAAACCCCAAAGGTATAAGCTAGAAGAGAAGCAAAATAATTCAGAGAAATCACTGAGAAATTTCTACAAACAAAACATGACCAAAAATGCTTACATATAAATAACTTTACCTAATAACTATTCGACTTAGGTTGTCAATTCTATTGTCATTTTTTTTTTTACTTGTTACACTGGAGGTATGTGGAAGAAATTATGCATGTCATTTCTTAGAGACCACCTGGAAGCTGCCTAGATAACAACCCGAGGGGGAAACATTGTTAAAGAAGTTTATGAGAGATGCTGACATGTGAACTAACTTTTTTGTTTCTGAAAGGCAATCTGTTAAAAGCAGATGGTAGACCACACTGAAAAAAAACCCCAACATGTCTTACATGGCAAACTTGCTCAGCTTTAGAATATGAAAAAGTTGTATCTTTTTTTTTGTTGAGTTTTTATGGCACTAGTGGCTCATTCTTTCAACAGTAGGCTGACAGGAAGGGGGTGTTTGGTATGAGACAGGGGGAGGGCCATGCAGCAAAGGACCACAGGTCAGATTCAAACCCGGGTCGGCCTTGTCGAGGATTAAGGCCTCCTTACATGGGTCGCGCACGCTAACCACTGCTCCACCTGCTCGCCCCTTGAAAAAGTTGGATCTTTTATAGTAAAGAAATAACATGTATGAAATGTTGCTTTAGGGCAATATCAGCAAAAAAAATTATGCTCCTAATAAAAACAGGTGCATTGAAAAGTGGATTAATCTAAGAAATTGAATTAAAAAAGGAACCCAATATCATATATGGTTCTGCATGAAGAACATTGTAGTTCAAGCATTTGTTTTAATTAATTCTCATATTGATAGGCATTACAGAAAATCTAGAGATAACACTGTTAGGTCTTACTTAAAAGTACTTTATGATGTGTCGTATATGTATTTGCACTTGTTTGGAGCATCCTTTGCATAAATCAATGTGCAGTTTAGACATTTGTTGGTGGAGAGGAGTTGCTTTAATAGCCTCCTCTAGTCAGTCTTCACATTAAATGGTAAATAGTAGATGGCGTGTGCTCATGTAGCACTTTTACCAAGTCAGGAGACTTGACCAAAGTGCTTTACACTACAATCAGTCATTCACTCTTTCACACATTGATGCTAGCAAGCTACACTGTATCCCTAGCTGCCCTGGGACTTGCTGACACCCATCAGTAGGCAATGCAGGTAAACTGTCTTGCCCATGGATACATCAACATTGAAAGCCAGAGAATCCTCATGTTGCCTTACAAGCTGCTTCCTCTGATGAACAAACTCCTACCTCCAGCGCCACTGTCGCTGATTAATTCACAGTTTCTTCAGGTGACCTGTACACATTGTCAGCCATTCATGTCAAGGCAAATTGAAACATCTATCTGAGAGTCTTTGTTGATTCTCTGGACTCACTATTCAGTAACCTGTAGTTAAAGCACTAATGTTTTTAAGCACATGGAGGCGAATACTCTGAAGCGGACTTCACCTTCAATGCAAAATAATGACCCACCAGTCTCTTTTGGGTCACTATTGTCTATTGTTTGGTGTTAATTACTTACTTGGCCAGAGACATTCAATGAGACTGCTCATTGAATGTCTCTGGGATGAGCTTTAAAATTACAATGTGTAATTTTCAGCTATAATTATTGATCAGACTGTAGTGAAATGAACCTCCCCCCATTGTTTCTCCCTCTCAAACAATACAGAGGCCACCTTGGTACAAGATGACTTTCGTAGCGTCTTCAGCACCTTTCTTATCAAGTGATAATAAGGTTTGTTAACATAATTTTATGAATAGGATTTTACTAGTCTGTGTAGGATATAGATTGTATACAGGCATAACTTGCCACAGTCACATTGTAATGGCGAGCTCTACAGTCACTAGTCAGTTCTGCGCTGCTATAGCGCAAAGATGCATGCCTCATGCCTCAAATTAGTAATTTCTAAGGCAACAAAAACATAAAGATTGAAACTTTCAGTTTGTAGATGATAATAAATAGCATATTTATGTAGAATATCCTACATTTCTGTTAGTAAATATCTGTGATTTTTTTACACCTAAGCTTTAAAGCAGGGTTGAGAATATTTGAGAGCTTAAGGCCTCGTCCACACGAAGACGAACCCTGGCCTAAACGCACAAATTTTTCACCAAACCAGCCTCTCATCCACACGAAGCCGGCGTTTCGGGGGTCTGTAAACGATCTTTTTTTTATTCAGCCTTCAGAGTGGGAAGATTTCGAAACGCCGTTTTCACGTTTCCATCGTTACGCTCTAACCGCATATTTTTTTTTACAAGCATGCATCATAGCGTCGCCTCTAAACACGCATGCGCGACACAGTATCACAACAACAATGGCGCCGTTGCTGCTCATGCTACTCACCCTGCTGTCGGGCTTACAACAGAATATTCTTCTTCTGGAATATCTCCAGGAAGAACAGAGCAATATCGACGACATAGTTCAGCACCTGAATTTGACTGAACCACGAAAATGGACCCGCAGGGCAACCATGTATAAATATTAGTGCGCATGCCCAACATTTCGTCGCTTATTTTTGCTTTGGCACCACAGCGCCACTTACAGGCCTGGCATACATTTTGCAGCGTTTTCATGCATTCGTGTGGACGCTCACATTTATTTTACGTCTCCGTCTTTACGGCAAACGTTTTGGAAAATATCAGCGTTTCGTGTTCGTTTTGACTTCGTGTGGACGGGGCCTAAACCACATCCTCCTATGTTCAGTGTTGCATTTTTCTTGTGAAAAATATGGCTTCCTTTCAAAGCACGTATCCGCTCTGCCCAAGATGTGGACAGTATGGTCATGAAGAGGTGCCTTTTACTCTTGAGGTGAGAATAGACAGCTGAAAGCTTCCCTGGGCTATTTGCTTTCCTGACCCATTTGCTGACCCATGCATTTGTCTATTTATTTATTTTTTTTTGTTTAACTGATGAAAAAGTCTATGTGGACATTGCTACAATGGAACATATTCAGAAGGGACATGTACTCATAGAACGATTAGGGGGTTTGGCCTAGTGGTTACCCTTAGCAAAAAGTAGTTAATTCAAGTATACTAAAAGTGCACTAATTTCATACTTAAAATCAGGCAGAGAACTTAGAGTTTACTTATTCTAAACTATATTTCATATACTTAACAATAGTATAGTCAGGTGTACTTGACTATACTATTGTTTACTTTATTGTTTACTAAAGTATACCTTAAGTATACTTTAGTAAACTTAAAAAGGTCCCAATTTAGTTCGAAGAAGTATTACTTTAGCAAAACTTCAAGTACACTATAAGTACATTGTTCGGTATACTTTCTAAACTTATGCTTAAGTATTCTTAATAGAATTTACTTCAAGTATACTACTTTTTGCTAAGGGAAGAGCTGTGCGCTTGTGCACACCGCTCAATGGGCATCACACAATAGTAGCCCACTGCTCCCCAAGGGTATGGATCAAATGCAGAGAGTGAATTCCTCAATTGTGAAACAATAAAAGGATTTACCCACATGATGTAAAACCCTCTTCAGAAAAACTGAGCTAAAATCTGATTGTCTCCAATTTAAGCCTATGCGTTCTCAGATAAAGCAAGTTTTTATCACCATAAAGCTTCAAGGGCCTCTCTGAAAGTAGAAAGATGTGTCAAATTGAGTTTTATTTACAGCAACATTAAACTTTCTTCTGAGCATGCTTGATATAGAAACAGAGGTATAATCTCCTGGAAATGCATCAGCAGAAAGACTGTAACAAATCCATATAGATATGCAGGTCACATGTTGTTCTCCTTGCTTTCAGTCAGTAAAGACTTGTTATACATGAAGGTGGTTGATAGTATGATTAAAGATGGGAAGTTCTGATTTAGCCTGTTGACTGAAGTCCTCCATTTCATAGGTGAGGTAGGTCTCTGAAAAGGTCAAGCAGCTCATGTTGTGATGTGTGTGTGTGTGTGTGTGTGTGTGTGTACTGCCTCTTAAAGCAGTGACTCTGGCTTCAGTCCCTAACTTGTGAATGTCTGCTAGGTTTTTCAAGAAGCCTTTCATTACAGCAGTTCTGGCTGCTGCTTCAGATGTTATCATCCCATTAAATGGCCGTTATTAGCAATTATTAGTTCCATATAATGGCCAGTAGGCTCAGTAGGTTGTTATTACTAAATGAATCATAATCCTAATCCTAAAGTAATTCCTTTTTTTTGCCTACATAATTAAGTAATTTATTTATTTGCAGTCTGAAAACATATATAGTGGTTCTATATCAATTGATCCACATGTTGCTCATATTAAACAACATAAAAACAGAAAATTTTCACATCCTGTCAGCTGAGCAGTTTTTAAACAACACAATAAATCCATATGACTGAAACATGTAGAATTAATCTGAAGTAAAGCTTTAAAACTCAGTTCTTTTTAAATATGTACAAGCGGCTGTTATCAATGATATGCTGCATATTATCAACAATAAAAAACCTTCTAGAAGGAAGAGGAGGCGCAGTCTTAAGCCATTCTATGGGACTGATATCCGCTAATAACGGCCATTTAATGCTTGATCAGAGGTGGTTCTGGTTATTTCCGCTGTCATGCTTCATCTACCACAATGCACCTTCCATTCAGCTTTCTATTAATAAGAAACTACAGGTATCCATAAAATAATATACAGAGGTGGGTAGAGTACCAAAAAAATTTAAAGAAATATTACTCAATCATATTTTTACTTAAGTAAGAGTAA